CTCGCAGGTGGGAGCCTTTCTGTCAATGGCTCTTTCCGTTCCCGTGATTCTGTGCCTTGCCGGCCGAGCTTCTATGGTTTAGGGTGTAGGGGTTTAGGGATTAGGGTTTCGGAGAGAGAAAGAACAAGTGCAGTTATGTCAAATCATGTTATCACGGGCGGCATGAGGAGCTCAACCGTAGGCTAAGCCTTACACGCAGCCTGGATCTTTCTTTGTCTCAACTTCAATCCGAGTCCTTGCACGCAGTTTGATCATGGCATTCCCTGTTCGTCTTTGGACCGTGGAGAAACACTGCATTCAGCGCGAAGTCTAACCACTCAGAGACTCAGAGGGGGTTTGTACTGCAGCATGATCCCTTCTTTCAAGGAACCATCGTAGCAGCAGGTGGCTCGAGGGGAACCCTGACGCTTGCGGCCTCTAATGAAGACTGTTTTGGCTGCAGATGCTGTTTTCAAAACTTCCGAGGTTTGACAGTCGCCTGGAAGCGCCCCTGGCTACGCCTCCTGGCCACAGCGGCCATAATCATGACACCCATCCGGATGTGGGCTTCGGGGAGTATCGTTCAGGGTTTATATAAGGCTTGGTTGTAGTGGTGGATTCAGACAGCACTCAGTGCGTTTTATCTGCCCTCAAACTTCTGACAACAATCGAATACAATCGAGCTCTGGTGGTTCTTCCCTGAGGCTGCTGACTGCCTTAGCTGCCCAAATTGGCTTGAAGTTCCTTTTCGCCAATGTCGTGGAAGTGAAGCTCCTCGGCGGCAAGGATGACAATGGCAAAGGGCTCGAGTTACTGTCGTTTATTCTGGCCGTAGACAAGCTAGAGCTAGCCAGCCAGTTGAGCATTCCAGTCAAAACAGGGGAAACGCGTACGTGCAAACTTCCATCGTATTGATTGAGCCATGTGGGTCCAAGTACCCTGTGATCAGAGACTTCTGCCTAACTACTAGCCTATGCTTCTACTATCGGAATCGCAAACCCGAGCATGGACTCTTAGCGGAAGGTTTTAACACTCATAACATAAGCTTGGCTGCATGGACAACTCCGAATCCGGTGTGACGTTGCCGACCCAGCTGGACTGCCAGGCTGGTGGAGAATGATTCCACGATGAAAATGCATCCGGTCGTGACACTCTTGGCTCCAAAGCTGCGCTTAGGGGGGACGGGGAGGGTTTGGGAGCACATTGTATTTTAGGGGCCAGCACAGGGGCCTTACCAATTAGAATAGGGTTTCGGGACCCATTCTACTATAATATTGATGAGGAGCCCCTAAACACTTATTGGTACTTAATAAGGCCCCTGTATTAGACCATGGATCTGGAGATTGACGCTCTTTCTGTGCGAGGAACTCCGGCCGAGGGCTCACCCATGCCCGAAGCAACGGACATTAAGTAGCATGCTGTAATATCCTTATACCTTGTTAGACATTAAGTATCATTCCTTATTGCTTGTGGCCCTAGAGGTTTAAGGCCCTGAAAGCTGCAAAGCGATAGATTATACGCCCTGGGGCAACAGCCCGAGGCTCTATCGGCAACTGCACAAAATTGTTGAGCGCTTCGAGTAAGCCAGAGGAAGACACTCGTCAAGCGAAGCCGAGAGTTGGCGAACGTCATGATACTCCGGACATCGACAAGTCCGACAGCTTCGTCTGGCTTCTGAAAAAATACGTGTGCTCTCGTGGGGTTCACCACGGTATGCCCGCTCGCTTTGAGCAGCCCCACTTCGATCCCTGAATCAGCTGGGCACGAGGCAAGAAACAATAAGCTCCTAAGCCTCTTCGACCAAACAGCAGATCCAAATCCCAATCAAAACCTGAACGTCCTGGACATCCCCATCTGCAGAGAGCATTTCTAAGTTACATGTTTGTCTGAAGCGTGAGACCAAAGCCTAAAGCTTTCAACACCAAAGCCGACATGTATGTCCATGCGCGTGAGGCCGTAACTTTCTTCGGCTTTGTCTGGGGTCCGACTGGGATGCTCCTCTCCGTTCCGATGATGACGCCAACTGCATGCAATTCAGATCCGGCTAAATCCTCAACTGCAAAAGGCCAAGCTTCAGGCGCTACGTTAGACGTATTTTTCATCAGCCCGGAAAGAGCGGAAGCATCCGGAGTATGGCCCGGGTTGAGCCGTGCAGAACTTTGGGCTTGTCAGGCATATAATTGCACAAAAAAGTTTGCAGGATGTGATAGTCTAGTTTGGCTTCAGCCAGGGTTTGGGATTCGGCAAGAGTACACAGCGGGAGCATGCCAAACTAACCCTGAACTGGCCCAAACTCCAACTTAGATGCTTTCTTGGGAATGTCTCGGGGCGGCATGTTGGAAAAAGCATCCTTCATGACTATCTGGTAGATGTTTGGGAGAGGTGTTTGCAAACTCTGGAGCATGGGTGAGTGCATGTCTATGCAGAGTTTTTGACAATCTTGCAAGAGGTCAACCAAGCTAATTTGCTGCTAGGGCCTAGCAGTCGGGCTTGCTTTGCGGCAGCTGCTTCGTGTAATGAGGCATTGTCACTGAGGCGAGTGAAAGAAAGGCTCTGTCTCTGCCTGCCTGCATCTGCTGGGATTAGGACAGCCTGACAGAGAGCAGTTTGGAGCCGTGCCGGACAAGGTCCTGCAATTCTGAACTCAAGCGAAACAGCTAAGCAGAAGCCCTTTTGACCTATGGGAGTGTCAGGGTTGCTAGTACCAGAGCTGTGAAAGGACTCTCGTAGCCGGAAGCAGTCCCAGCATGTCCCAGCGCTTGCTGAGCTCGCCGCCAAAGTGAGGTACTTGAAAGCCGTGCTCTTGGCCGAGTCTTCGGTTTGCATTGGTTTGGATTCCTGCCAAAGTGCAACATAGGCTTCAAGTAAGCACCATCTACACTGATGTTGGAAGCTTCCAGCTATCGTGCGACAGCGTTCCAGCGCGTATTCTCAAGAAGAGTGCAGAGTCAGAGAGCATTGGCGAGAGAGGGAGAGAGCGGAAGGCTTCCCAGGTTTTCTTTGCTTGCCCCCTACAGTAACCCAAGCATTCGTGTGGTTGATGTTTTGGTTTCCTTTGTTGGAGCGGTTCCAATGCAGAGCTTGTAGCCAGTGGAAGATGCCCAGCCAGGTTTTTCAGGACTGGAAACCGGCCGACTCGTTCATCTTGGGTTGAGACCTCGACACCGATGGGACGCATTCAAGAACGATTAACTGTTTAACTGAAACGATTGTTAGACCGTGTGATGTGGACCCCTATTTGAGAGCATGTAGGGTTTCGGGTGGAACCAACAACCTGCGCTTTCGCGGTGAAGCCTTCAGGTATGTTCCAGCCGGATATCGCGATCCGCTTCTGATCCTCATTGAGGGTGACCGTCGGGCACCGCGGAGGATCCGACCTCTTCCATGCGGTTTGCATAAGACATCATAAGACAATGCCCCTAGCAACGGTCGCAGCAAGTCTGTTGGGGAGGATCGGTATCGTCTTACAGACCATCACTGTATTGAAATCCTTCCCCACATGATCCTTCGCGACGTTTTCGTCGTCACTGTCGTGGTTATCACCATCGTCATCATCCCGAGCATCATCTGCACATCATCATCATGTTAATCAAAAGCAATATTACCAGTAGCCAACATGCCGAGACGATGCTGTGAGACACACCGGCAACGACTAGGTGAGCTTAGCTTAGAGGACCGTTGTTCTTCAAGAGAAGCTTTTATTGGCTCAGTCTTCTGAGCCTTTACATAAGGTTCAAGGCTCCTGGAAGCAACTCAGTAATTAGCTATCACCCCACCTCCTGTCTTCCTCGAAGCGATTCGACTTACCGGATCGGAGCTTCCATGTCAGTTCAGGGAAGGTGCTCAATCTCGTCAGTGTCCGCCCTTTGCTTCCCTCCATTCTTTTGCTTGCGTCGTTCGTCCTGCCGCTATTAACTGTAGATGCATAAGTGCCTACTCAATGGGCGGAGTATCCACACAGCCTGGGGTCAGGCTCCGCGCAAAGAAGCCCGGGCGCAAGGAGACGCGCGATCCTGTCGGCAGCTTAAAGAAAGGCTGCATAAGTTTAATTTGTGCCGTACGGCCTAGCCAAGCACTTCGGTTCAAAGTCCATGTGCAGGCTGCACGCTTTGCAAGATGTTGCATTTGCATATTTTCTTCGAGCCCGATCTCTGCAATGTTTTATATGGCAGATCAGACTTAGACTTTGATTTTTTTCGATTCCGAAAAGGCATTCTGTAAACGCGAGTTCGTTCAAATTCAATATCTCAGAGTTTTCGTGCATGCCAACTTCGGCACATATTCCAAAGGGTTTAAACCGCTGAAAGAGATTTAGCTGTAAATCCCCATTAACTTACCCCATAACTGCGGCCACAACCAAGCTTCCAAGTTGAAATCAAAGCGCAAACCACAAAGTAGAACCTTGTTCCATACTTATACGTGTAGGATTTACTGAGGAGTTGGGATTACCACTACAAGTTGGAACGCGGAGCATAGCCAAGACTTGGCCTGGAATCTTCCAATCATGTGGGACGGCATTTCCCACACGAGAAGTCGTAATCTGGGCCTCATCCCTAAAACTCCTTTGCGCCATCATCTGCCCAATTTACCTGCATTCCAACTCTCGGCGTTCGCCGTGAAGAGTTGCCGCACGGCTGAAGGCAGATGATGATGACTGGCCTCTCCAGCGCCACAACTCAGACTGAGCTCAGCTGCGCAAAAAGGGACCGAATTTGCTTTGCCGTTTCTGCCAGAGACTGCACAGGTGTCTTGCACGAGACTGCACAGGTGTCTTGCACTTGCCTGGTGCTGCAGTCTTAAAAGTCACAAGAAAATGACCGGCTTGATGCCGCAAGCCTTGGACCTCTCATAGAGCAGAGCGCCGAAGATAGAAGCTGCGACTTTCGTTTCTCAAGCAGCGGGGTCCTAGGCGTGCTCAGACACGAGAAATTGAAGTAATTGAAGAGAAATCGATGCCAAAGACTGTCGAAGTGATCTGCCATTAAAGCTGCTGGCAGCCCAGCCGACCCTCGAGTGCCGAGGTTGTTCTGTCTCTTGAGCCCGGGAATGTGAAGGAGGAGGCGTCGTCGAGGGCCGTAGAGCTTTGCTATTTTGGTCGTTTTAAAGCTGGGCTGACGCATGTATTGCACGCGTGAAGTCTGGGTAGATGCAAGCAACGATGGGAGAATCCGGCAGTCTGCCCTGTGTCGGCGACCAATCCGAGGATGCATCGCAGTCATGACCTTGCTTTGGGCGATCGGCATTGCTTCCCGTGTGATGCAAGCATTGCGCAAAGAAGCATATTATGTCATATTGTATTATCATACAATGTTATTAATTATGCTGCTATCACATATTATACATGTCATCTTATACAGACAACTTCCGGAGTTGCCGACCGCCTCAGCCAGGTGAATGCTAGCCGATTGCAGCTGCACATCGATGCCTTCAGAGATGCCTCTTTTGCTCCCACCTCAGAAGTTATGCGCACACTGTAGGTTTCGACAAGTCGCACGTCGTGTACTGAGTACTGGAGAGGATGGAGCAGTCAAAGTAGTGGCAGCTCATGTATCAGACTGGTGTTGTTTCCGATGCAACAAAGCACAGTAAACACATCTTGTCAATTCCGACGTGCCATCATAAGGACAACATGAAGAAGGACCGCTGCGCTGGTGGTTGGAATCCGGGGTTGCGACAAGTAGAGACTCTGGAAATGAGGTATATATCCTGTCGGCGACCATGCTTGTATGTCAGGCGCGGTTTTTCGGACTAGGCAGTGTCCTGGCCGCTACTAGTTGTGATTTAATGCTTTAGGAAGCTTGCATAAATCATCATGAACCTTTCAGTTTTGGCCGAAGGAGTCTCGTGGGAGGGGCAGGTGGGTCCGTTCATGCCGATGCCTGCCTATTCGCCTACTTTCAATGCAAACGAGCTGAGGTTTTTGTTTGCGCAGCTCGGCTTTTGTGGTTTTACTTTACACTGTAGGTGACAGTAAACTGACATAACCAGGATACGCTAGCTGCAGGACTTTTCTCCCACTAGTTCAGAAGCCAGTAACCAAAATTGAGGTTTCATCACAAGTCATAAACCGCATGCAACATCCGCAACGTCCATACGCAAAAGACCACATTGTCGCAGAAACAAGAGCCGAACCTCTGCATTCTATATGCGCTCACGGCAGTATTTGGAGCTTGGAAAGCGAGTGTGCTTTTGTATTGTTTTGTTTATAATTATGTACTTGTTCAGAGCTTATGGCTTCGTATGTATGTACCCACTTTCCCCGCTGATTGGGAGGACTTCGACATCCTCACTGGGCAGAAGAAGCAGCTTGGCATGCTCACTCCTACAGTTTTGGAACCTCTCGGGATGGCGAAAAGAGGGATTGAACACTTACTTGCACCTTGTGTTTCAGCGCTGTGTTCACATCCGTGGCTTCCTTGGGATGATAGGCTCGCAACGCATATAATAACGCATGTAAGGTGCTGTCTCAGAGGCGCTTGAATTTATTTAGGCAGCAGAGCCCTTTCTACAGGCAGCGCTTGGACGCCATCGCTCTTGACCGGGATGAGAAGATGTTTGTGGAGAGGATGGAGGGGCCACCGCCTCGGTCCCGACAGCGCAGACTTGAGATATCTGGGGCGTACAGCTTCGCTAGAATCAATCCTGCATATAAAAAGGGATAGACATCGACGTAGCAATAGAGCATAGACATGTACATACCTACAAGAAGGAATACTCATTATGCATGTATAAGTACGGACGTTTATATGTGCGAACGGTACCCCCCATGGATCTACCGTTCTCCTTTTCAAAATCACCTGGTGGCAGGATTTGGGCGATCAAGGGGAGTCACTGAGGGCTTGGTAGCATCAAGAAGACGCTGGAATGATTCATCAAACCAAAGAGCCTGACCGAAACCCGGAATTCAACATATGGAAGTCTTGAACTAGACCGCAAGACAAGACTCGCCAGCTTTATGTGTTCGGTTAAGATTGTGTCGGTTCGTTTTTGTTGGCTTCCTTTGAGAGTGGTATAGCTGTTGGGGATGAATGCAGCATGAAGCCAAACAATCCAGACTGTCCGAATTGTTTTGACAAAAAATTGGCGAATTAAGAGTACATATCAATCCCAGCTTGTGACAATTCGTACCACCGCCAAGTAATATAATTTGCTTTCCAAGTTTTACAACTTTCAATACTGCAACTGTCATGCATTCTTGCAGGGTTAAACTAAGTCATATTGAAATGTATTGGTTTGCAAGCAGCTTGAGAGTACGTTTGCTTGGTGGTTCGCGCAAGAATTGGAACAACTGAATGAGTTTGTTTGCTTGTCTGTTGACACGAACTCTGGATAGCCTTTGTCAATGTCCGTGGACGGCTGACTTCACGTTGACACGTCATATGCTAATCTTCAGCACACCAAGCGTGCAATTCATAGTTGTTTGCCTATTCAGCCAACATGTCTTAAACTTTATGTTCCGACCCAAAAGTGCAATCACGGCCAACGCGTGACATCACGCAAATCAAAGCTTTTGTCCTAGATCATGGACAAAGCTTCCCAGTCAAGATTCAACTCCGGATACCTGGTGCATCATGCGCAAAAAGCTTGGGAACAGTTTTACGTCTACACACTCTATTTACGCACATGTGATGATCAGGACGGCTGTATACTGCAGTAGAGGCCTTTCAAATCGATGATGCGACAAAGCTGACCAAGCCCAAGCCTGCGCAAACAGTTCGCCGTAAAGAGTTTCAAGGGCTTGAGCGACTTGACGAATTTCAATATCCCAGCTAGCTGAATTGAAGCGCGATGATTCTGTGGTATCAGAGTAACAACTACATGTTGCACCATCCCTTGTGCTGTAACATCGGAGCTAGGACATGTAAATGAAGTTTCAGTCATCAGCCCTTTGCTTAGCCCGGCCAAGCAAAGTTGACCAAGTCGAAGCAATATACATACTGCCCCTGTTCGGATGCGGAAAAACATGCCCCAACCAATTGAGATGTGTAAGTTCCACGAGGTTGAACGGTTTGACGACTTTCAACATCGCCTCTGTGGTAAGGTAGTAGCAACTACAGGTTGGACTATCATGTGTGCTTTGTCGTTGCTGCGAGCTATTGTACTGAGTCAAAACTCTTGGATTAGCCCAAACCCTTCAACTTGCTTGACGAGACTGAAACAGCCTGCACAATAGATCGCGAGCCAAGTTTTTAATTCGCCCGGCTTCGAGATACAAGACTCATGTTATCTATCCCTCTTAGACTCAGGCAGGCCATGTGCTGAGGGCCCGAAAATAGAATATGGACTGAACAGAAGTGGTTCAACCATTCAGCTTCCTAGCAAGTTGCGACGGGTATGAGCATGGACAAGTGCGAAGGATGTCCACAAGGGACGAGCTTCAATACAGCTGTGATGATGCTTTTACCCTGTCCTCAGGCTGGTCGGAAGTAAGAGCACGCCGGCCCAGCACCCAGATTCTACCATTGAGCACCCAGCAAGAGCTGCGCCTGCACGCGCTTCAAGACGTTGTTGAGACATTTCCGTCAGCGGTTAAACCCCTTGCGTAAACGATAGGTATCCTCTGGGCAAGCAACTCATCTCCGACTTCAGGGTGTCCAGAACAACACCTGGTCCTGGTATCCTACCTCGTCGGAACGTCTAACCAGACATCGCAGCTCGAAGCTGTCATTGGCTTGCTCGCCAGGGTTGATCAGCATCAGGAGTAGACTAGCCACCCAAGCAAATCAGCTGTAGCCGTCACTCAAGCACCAGACAAACCAGGACGTTTGAGCATTAAGTTGCGCTGCGAGAGCGGTTCAGGTTGACATGCTGCAGAACCCCCGTGTGTGCAGGCCGTCCGTCAGCTCAACCCTTTCCTCAAAAAGTCGAAGAGTCTCGGCTCGGTTTGTGGGCCAGCTTCCGATGTTTTGGGAGGGTTTCTGGCTATGGTTGAAGTAATTTATTAATCTGGATGGCAGGAAAGTTCTGCTGGCTGGAGTCAGCCAGCCGACGGTGTGCACAGTTCACAGTTCCGATGTTGCTAGACTCCTAGACGTTTAGCTGACTGCTTTTGTTCAGGGCACCGCGTGTGCATAGACCCTGAACACAGGAACCAAACTATGGCTGGGTTGACGTTATATATATATGTACATATGCACACACCTTTTATTTACAAATATATATATATATATATATATATATATATACATACTCCACCGCACACCAAAGGCCCCTGTCCATGGCAGCTTGGGTTTCGGGTGTGCAAACCGTGTTAGCTTCAAGGAGGCGTAGTCTTTCAGATCTCAGGGTAGATGCTGCTATCATGCATGCTGCGTTTGGGTAAGTTTGACGGCATCGGCACTCCGAGCATCAATTCTGCACAAGCCTCACATGATTCTAGAAACCTGAACCCTGAGAGGTCCTTATGCCTCTGCCGGATTTCCCGAGGAGCGTGCCCAAGCTCCTCGGAAACCTCTCCCGAAAGCTTCCGGCGGTCCAGGCCCAGGCCCTTTGTCCTTCCTGCTTTCGCCTCTGTTTCGGATTGGGGGTTTGTTAGGGCACATTTTGGGTTTGGAGTTTGTGGGATTCGGGTTTGGTTGCAAAAGGTTTCGGGTTCACGGTTTGCTTAGTGTGACCATCATTGTCCTCATAATGTCTGCTTTGCTGCTGGTCATAGCATTACTAGTGAAACAACACCACGACCGCCATGACGACTAGGTGACTAGGACCACTAGGACCACCGGAAGATAATCACGACAACCAATACACCACGACGAGACCCCACGACGCCACCAGGAGGCCAGCAGGCCACTGCCAAAATGTTTCCCCAAGTACTGGCGGAACCACGGCGACACTGCTTGTTGAGACCACAGAGTCCCCAATAACTCGAGGGATTCAGAAGCATTTCAGGTTTTGGAAAGAGACGAACGAAGGCACCTCGTAGTCTTTTGCTGTTACTCTGATTATTGATGTTCTTACCGTCTGCCTGTTTATGATGACAGCTGTCATCCTGCTTCTCCCCTACAAATGCTGATGACAGCGCCGCTCATTGAGATGTTGTTTCTGTTGTTGTCACGCCTACTGATATGCCCCGCGCCCACTCGCCAAACTAACACACGCGCGCACACACCTACATAAACACAAAACCAACAAGCACAAACAGCAGACACGCACACACACACACACACACACACAAAACAAAAACAAGTACTAAAAAACGGACAACACACACACAGACACACACACACACACACTCACTACGAGCCCGGAGCCTAACCCTTGACCCTGTGTTGGAGGCTGCACCTGGTTTGGTGGCCGCACCCAAAGCGCCCAAGGCTAAGGCGAAATATGGGACGAGTTTATAGGGATGTGAGACGAGAATCGGGGATTTGAAGGGTTGCTGGGCTCATGGTTCATATTTCAGCGCCTTGGCTGAGTGCGTTCTGGCAAACCCGGGTGGCAGGAGGGGCTACAGTGTTCTACTGCACAGGCTGCGGATCCAGCATGTTGTCCGAACGTGGTTTGGATTGGCATAACCATACTCCGAGAGTCTTGAAGTTGCACACCGCCGCCAGGAAAAGAGCCAACCCGAGGCACGAGGGTCTCCCAGGGATCTCCATTCATATGACTGAACTTGACGAGGGCTTTCAATACTGGGAGGACTTGCCAATGTCTTTCCCTATGCGGGGTTATGTCGTTTCAGAACCTTTCAAGAAGCTTCGTGAATGTAGTGTTCCCTCATGCAAAACATACTTTCACGAAGTTTTTTGAAACGCCAAACTGTAAATCTGGGTTGCAAGCAAATTTTTGAATTCGGATCGTTTAGGACCGGGCGTCCAGTACAACTCGAGATGCTTGGCGAATTCTTCAATTGAGCCGAGAGCCAGCCCCCATATTGGAAGCGACCTCGACGTCTCTTGGGCGTACGGGCGATGCCAAGCCGTATCCAAGAGCGGTGAGACTTCTGGGATGGCGATACCCAGTGAGCCATTTGTGAGACATGCATATGAAGGCACCTCCCTCTTACAGAGGACGGCACGGCCACACAAACAGTGCTCGTGAATCTTATACATTTCACGAACGGCTGTCTGTTTTCGTGTTGATGAACCGCAACAGGATGGATTGCTTGAGTACGGCCCTGTGATTACTTGTCCCTCGGTTCCTACGCGCTACCTCAAGGTGGGGCTTCCCAGATGGAGAGTCTCGGCCCGAAGCCACACTTGCATTCCCATGGAATAATTCGTGTGTGTAAAATCTTCCGTCCCGGCCATCATGCCCGGACCCAGACACCTGCGCCACTACCGGCAGCAACAGCTCCCACGAGCACGCCTTTCCCTGGCTGGCCGGCCCCTGTTCCTGTAATCTAGATTGCCCCATACTCATCCAGCTGGCCCTGGTGGAGCTTTACGACGCCGCAGCCTTGCGACACATAAGTTTTGTTATGAACATGAGGCTCCAATGTTTCACCACCAGTCGCCGCCCAACGGAACTATTAGTCGTGTCTGCCCTGACACTTCCACACCGGTACAGGTGCACCAGTCCGTTTCGTGGGATGAGCTCACGACCGTGTCGCTGCTGGGGAGGTGCTTCGTTGTGCCAGTGTTTTTGTAAGCTGATGTGTTTCAGGCTTCCTGGAACCTGCAAGAGAGGATCCTATTTAGTCATGTCGGCTCCGACTCCCAAAGCCCAGAAAGGCTCTGCGTCACTGAATGAGGGCTTCGGTTCCGGCTCTGTTGAGCTTGGTGATGATGATATTGGCTTGACTCTAGGGCTTAGGGTTACATGGTTGACCTTTTGGGGCTTTGGTTTCCTATACACGATGGCCTGGGTTGTCCCAAGATGTTGCCGGACATAACCACGATTCTTTACCTACGATTCGTCGGATGTGCTTTCCCGGTCGTTCTCGCGGCCATGTATACAGGCTGGGTCACTGCTCTTAGGCCTAAACCGGAACTTCCACGAACCTTACCATCTCTCACCTTTTCTCCGCCAGGGAGCTGGGAGTGTGAGGACCATCGCGCAGTGGACATTTAATTCGATGTTTCACAGAACTGGTTTCACCCAGACACATTGTACAATCACAGCGACAACCATGCAAATAATAGTAGCCACAAGAAACAAAACAAAACAATCACTATATCGGGGACAAGACGAAGAGCAAGAGCAGGAATAACAACCTGTAGCCGCGCGACAGAAATGCTGCAGACACAGACTCCTACTGCGACTGCCACTGCCACATACTGCCACTGCCACTCCTTCTCTAACCACTGCTACTACTGCTACCAGTCTCACTGCTGCAACCACTGCTGCTGCTACTACTACTGCTGCTACTGCTGCTGCTGCTGCAAATGCTGCTGCTGCTCCTGCTGCTGCCGCGGCGGCTACTACAACTACTGCTACGGCTACGACTGCTACTACTACGGCCACGACCACGACGGCGACCACTACTGGTACCACCACCAGCTGCATTGCAGACATCTATCGCAGCTGCAACAACATCTGAGTAACAACTAGATTGGTGCCCTATCAACGGCAGATGACAGATGCTCTGGAAGCACATTCGTCTCAAGCTGGACTCCTGAGTTTTTCCAGCTGGCGCGCCTACGAAAAGTCCGGTGCCGATAGGTCTGCAAGCTCCTGAAAATTAGTTCTCAGTCCTATAGGCTACTGGGTGATAGGAGCTACTGTTGAAGGCTGTAAGGCGAATAGTCCTTGCTCTGCCACCGCAGCGGCTGCCCGTACATAGCATGCTGTGAAACGCGCAGGCGGTGATTGAAACCACGCGTCCAGATATTGCAACTTGGCACCTATTTTGTCAAGGTTTTCCTTAAACTTGATGTTGTATTCCTATATCGGGTAAACACGTAATCATGGGACCCTTTCGGGAATCTTGCGGACAAAATGACTATCGAGGCCATGATAGAGTTGGACGAGGAGCGGCTGGATCGGATGCGGGAGGCCGTTTGATGCTTCGACTGCCAGAGTCGGACTCCTTGGAAAATTGTGCATCTTGCCAGACAGTAGAGCTAGAGTCCGGAGGTGTTGATAGTGTTTAGGAGTTTAGGATGCCGATGTGAGACAGCCCTCAGCAGGCCAGATCTGTGAGGAATGCTGGGCACACGGAGTCCCCGCCAAAAGAATACACTGGTCGTGCCTGATGGCTCAACTCACCACTTTACTTACACCTGGCACTGCCGAAGCAGGCATGGCCTTCATAGTGCCGGACCCCATTATATTTTGCACCCAGCTCATGCTTTTGTATTGTCGCAGACACCCCCTCGCGGACACACGCAACTTGCCACGCGGGCCTTCCATCATGAGATGGAACGGATGATCTTTAAGTAGTTCGAGCTCATTCATGTATTGTTCGCTTGCTGCTTGCATGCCGATCGAAAGCAGTACACCCACCATCAACACGACCAATGGCTCAAGATGCTTGCATTGCAGGCGCCACCGCCGGATCCGGTTCCGGAGCACCTGCAGCGGACCCCCCAGCTTCCAGAAGCTGTGCGAACAGTTTAGGAGCATTTCCTGCTTTCATGTTTCGAACAAAAATGGGAGTTTCCGAAGCTTGGGCGTACCTTAATTTGGCGTCCTTATAGTATACGGATCCTACTATTATCATGGTACTATATTAGGGTCCCTTTCTCCGAAACTCCCAGATATGCCTGGGACCAAAAGTTCCGAACACCAATCGCTCAGATCTTGACTTTGGCGCCCCTCTCAAGGCCCCTTTCAGGCTCCAGAATCCACGCTTCGTGCCCATGCCAACTCAATGCTCTAATATATAGGTACCTAAATAATTACCTATACTATTATTGGGGGTTCCACACGTATAATGGGCCCCAAAACCCTATTCTAATTATTAAGGCCCCTAGAGTACATCTTTCGCACATGACGGGGATGTCCCGGCAGATGATTGGGAGATATCGCAAGCTAAACCTGTAGGGAGAGGATCTTCCGTCACCCCCACAGCCTTTGCGCTCTTGAGCTCGCGACCCCTTGAACCAGGCCTATTACGATTTCCGCTCCCGCTCATGGGTCGGCTCCAGCATTCAAGCGGGGCTGGCCAGATTGGAGGGCCATGGTCTTAGGAAACCTAAAGTGTTAGGACTTTCGGGCTTTCCAGGGACTAGAGCTTTCAGTCACAGCGGGGAAAGATGCATCGGCAAGCTGCATACGAGATAAACTGGGGTTATAGAGACCTCTTTGATCCGAGGGTCAACATCTTTGGGGGCAACAGATGTGTACACCTCGGAAAGAGGGGATTCTCAAATGCGAAGTCCGAATGGGCAAAATATGATACACTCTTCAAGCACAACCTGATACATGATACGGGGTCGGCTTCTTGTGCCCCAGCGCCCCCTTACATTCACAAGTTAAGTATACCATAATTTTCCCAACAACCCTGGTAAATCCATCACGGCCCCTGTATTACAGACTTTCTGGAGTCTCCTCCCAGGCTCCTGGCATTAAAAAGCAACCTCAACTCCAATGTCTGCCTGTGACTGCCATAGCGATTAATCGTCTTCCGCACCGGCAGCTGGATCACAGGGGTGTTAGTTACTGTCAAACCGCTACGTGGGTTTAGAGGGCTCCGCAAGTTTTGCAGTTGCGCATGGCAGGCTGGAGACATCCTGCCAGCGGGCTGTGTGGAACGCAGAGGTGGCCAGTTCCTTAAGCCTTATGTGGAAGTTGCGGCTCAGGCATTATCGTTGCAACTTACTTTGCAAGAGCTCTCAAGGATCAGATTGCCGATGTGTGCTGAGGCCGGAGAACGCATCACTGGGGAGGTGGTCTTCGATGCAGACGACGAATACGGTCTCTCTGAGGCGACGACGGGTTTGGATGTGTTTCAGCAGAGCATGCTGCCAGCCTTCCATTGCGGTTTTCTAACCTTCTGCGCATACTCTACTACTATACTACACTAGACTATACTATACTATACTCTGCTATACTATACTATACTACTATACTGTAATATGTATCGTAGGCACCGCCGTTGCCGGTGAAAGGAGTCGTCCAATGTTTAGCTTTCCAGGTCTGTGTCCTCCGGTTGGCACTTGCTACCTGGGTAGAACAGCAGAACCTAGTTGCTGTGGTCGTCAGCATGGTGGTCTTGGGCGTCATCATTTTGGCGATTCTTTGTGGGAGCAAAAGCGGTGGGAGCAGAAGCGGTAGCTGCAGAAGCTAAGCATTGTTTTCGATGTTTGTAGCGTGGCGTGGGGCTGTCAGGATCGTGACCATCGTTGCGTCATCGTCACATCATCGTGTTCACCACCATATATTCAGCATTAAATTCTTAGTCTCTAGTAACTACTGTCCGCGCAGGTGTCTTTGTAAAGCAACGAAAAGGAAGGTAATTATGTCCGCTACTCGTGCACATGCTCGCGGTTGGGTGTCTGTGTAGCTTCAGCTCTACCTGGGATAGAAACGAGTAGCTCCAGGGGCACGCCATGCTTCGCAAGCAGACCGGCAAATGCACGTTTCCAGGGAGCCTCAACAACGTCATTTGGCTGTTGCCAACACAGTCTCGCTTCGTGCTGAAAGCCTCTGGGGGCAGGCAGGATGTTGGGATGTATTTCAACGTGCGCAAATCTCCCCCACCGCATTCCGCATCTTATTTCCTGAGCCAGGAGAACAATGCTTATTTGGGACGCCCGGCGCTGAGCTGTCGATGTTGTCTAAGTTGATTCTTGTTGGTCCTGGCGTGGACAGTAACCTGAGGATGTGTGACAATTCAGATCCTGTGCGTCTTCCTGAAGCCCTTTTAACCGCAGAGTGGGAAGAGACGCAAACCTTTGGGTCAGAAAGTTCTTGGAGCTTCGGTTGTTTCTACGAACCTGGTTATTGAATTAAGGGTTGGCTTTGCTTTATGTAGCTTGCTGCTTTGGCGAGCCCCGATACTCTGCTGAAAAGCATGCACCGTCGCGGCGACAGAAAGCAGGGGAACTGTGAGGCGGCGACTTCGTGTCCCTGGTTCGGCGAGGCAGCAGGGGCCTTAGTAGCCCTTTGCTTGCATGGCTCGGACCGAACCGGGGATTAGGGGTTGGGAAAGTTGAGGGTAAGATAATCCAGGATGCAAGCATGGCAGAGAACGAGTAGTATAGTCTTTCTATGAGTCAAGATACTGTATGGGGGATTTACCTACACCACACATCCAGCTGTGCTGCCCGGGAGAATTGACAGCAACCAGGACATCTAGGTCTTCATCAATTACTGCCCGTGGGCAGATACATCACCAGTTCTTCATGGCGTTTCATGTAGCAATACTAGGTAAAAGGTAAATGCCAGCTGTTGTTGACGGTTACGGGAAGCGTTTTATCACGGCGAACGAGTCTGTCTGGCGCACCCAAAGTGCTGAGCTGCGGTTTCAGATAACCCATTAGGGTCCACCACCTCTTGCTCATGCTTTTGAGAATTGAGCAGTGCAGACAAACACGGCTTGTGCGGCCGCGAATAGGACTTCTTAGTCAGCAGTCCGCGTCCGTCTCGAAGAAGACAACGAGACCTGTCATAGCAGAGAAGTACACGTAGTAGTTACTAGTGGTCGTGATGGTTGTACTTGACTATGCATGTGATTAGTTGATGCGGCGGTTTTCCAAGTCACTGCTGTCTCCTGAGCCTATACTGGTATGCGCTATGCATATAGTATCATCTAGTGTTAATTATTTTAAGTCGTTATTCCGGTTCACGCTCTTGTACTGAGGCCGCGATGGCCACTACAGCCATGTTGACTCTACACTCCGAACTACACCGTCGAACCCAAAGCGCCAAAACACTAGACCGTCACTGCTGAAGCCCCTGTAAGGCGAGAACGGCGAGTTCGCGCCCTTCGCCCTAAAGGTGCCTCCGGGGTTCTTGATTTATTGCTTTTCTCAGCTTCAAGGTGCAGCTCATCAACGTGTGTTGAGTTTGCCCGTGTTCGGTGATTTCATATTCGGGGTTTTCACAGGCTCGAGGGGGCTCTCAGGGATTAGGGAGCCAGGCGTTGCTACCTGGCCACTTTGCAGCGGGACATGAGTTCTTGAACAGCTTTGCTTTAAGTACCTTGCAAGGACAGCGTGCTATGACAAAAGGTGCCGGCTGAGTCATTCTTCTTGATGTTTCTTGATGTTCCGGCATTTATCTTGCACCAAGTCAGCCGACCACTGAGTGCTCTTCCCAATATATGGCGAAGAACTTCGAGAAGCTTGAAAGATACAGCGTGGAGTTGGTTTTTGGAATGCAGTACCATCTTGAGCATTACTCCTACCCCTCAATTCAAAGTGCAACTCAGAGTGACCGACATCTGAAACGCCCTCAGACTCTCAGTGCGTCAGGAAACCTAGGGTTGTCAACTGTATCGCATATCCTTACACTGGGTCTTCTTGGCTTACGGCGGTGAGGGCACTATGCAGGACTCTTTGGAGCTTTGGGTTTGGGCCCCAGAAGCTCTGCCTGAATCATTCCACTCCCAGATGAAAGGCCCACAGAGCCGCTTCAGCAGGGGCTTCTGCAGTCATCTGCGCAGATGTGGAGGAAGCCCCGCAATGGATGGGTTAGCCAGAGCCGGTCGGAGTGGTGTCAAGTGGCCGTGATGTAAACCTTAAACCTTACAAACCCTATAAACCCAAAACCTGAGGTCCCGACTTCGGTCTCGTCTGCGTTTTTGGACCTCGAAAGGGTCAAACCTGCGAGCCGATTTCCTGCCTGTGAGATCCTTCCACACTTTCACCGCTCCCCTTCAGTGTTTTGATTCTGCGGGCATTGGTGCCACCCCATGACCTTCATGACTTCATAAGCATCAACAGCCAAGCAAGATGCACCCTTCAATCGAGCGTTGCTCCTTGGCTTTGCAGGAGCGCCTGTTGCGTCCTGAGATTCTCATCTTCTTTAGAGATTGCGGACATGGGAAAGCTTTGAACTCCACACCGATCAGTTGGAATTATTTTAACATTCGTCATTCATCTCGGTAGCAACAAAACATAACAAAGCCCACTTTTGGAAGAGCACCCTGCGACTGATTGGATGTTGTGATGCCTTTATGCATGCCGCGTGTGCCGATAGTGGACTTGCATGCTCTTGGGGCTTCGAAGTCACAACTTCTGGGACACCTCAGGATCTATTGTGGGGCTTTATATGTCTACGAAAGGGGGTGTTGTGCAGCCTGATCTACCTTCTCCTGAGACCCGCCACACCATCAGCCAAGCACCAGCTGACATGACCCCGAGCTCAGCCCCAGTTCAGTATACGTAGCCAAACAGGTTCGGCCGAGCCATGGGTAAAACACTCACAATCAGAAGGGGCGGGGAGCTTTGCAACAGTTTTCTCAATGCTCTGTGTTGTTCCGGCAACTCTTAGGCCGGCACACCGCATCGGCGCTGCGACTCTCTGGGGAGACATTAGCCCAAGCCCCGGGCTGGGATCCGGTTTGGTCTCATTCAAGGATACCTGAGTCTGGACAGCTGAGTGGGCGCGCGGATGCTTGGAGGTGGTCGAAGGGCTTGCTGCAGATGTAGGCCATTGTAGGCTTGTCACTTGCGCAATCTGTTGGCAATTTCAGCACTCTTGTGTGGGTGATTGTGGTGACGTTCAATGCTCAGGCACTTTTCGTAGAACTCCAAACCTACACATGAAGCTATGCCTCTTTGTTTTCAAGGGTATACCCCCTGAACCAGAATTCTTAAGGCAATTGCCTGGTTAATGGGGATGCCGGGTTCACAGCTTCCATGACGTCGTCACCGATCGTCACTCCTTGAGGTCATGGGTTTCCGGCTGAGCTTTGGCATGGTAGCTGTCTAAGATCTCTTGCTGGAACTCTAAATATTGGATGGATTTTAATGACACAGGACTTATGTTAAACCTGCACCATGCTTTACACTGCCGAGGAATAGCTTGGAAAACCAAGAGCTGCACATTCCCAGCAATCCCTGCCACTCGTCCAGCATCTTCGGAGGAGTCTAGTGTAAGGTTTTCTGTGGTTCTTTTGGGATGATGTGGGTGAAGAGAGCACATGACATGATGCATGCAGGCAAGGAAGAAATATTACTGCAGGTGGCCTTCTCTAGCAGACTCGAGCAACGAGTCGTACATGTACATGTGTGCATATATGTATACTTGTGTGTATATATATATAATATTATATATATATATATATATATATATATATCATGCACATGTGTGTATCTACGCATAGCCACAGAGATAGCCGCACGATGGCATAGATACACCCGATATCCTCCACAAGCTCGACATGAGGGGTGCGCTTGGCCAGCATTCGCAAGCCGTGATTTAGAGAGACTAGGGCTTGGGTATGCCATCGACGTTGACGTCATGGCCAGAGTGTGGTTGAGAGGACAGTAGTTGTTCCATTCTCTGCCTGTCCCACTTTTACTCTCTTCTGGATCTCACTCACTAGGTCTCAAAATCCTGAGCCGAGCCGGCCCGGCGAAGAGCACAGGGGTTGATGATTTTAGCCAATGCTCTCCGTGCACGAAGACGAAGGTCCCGGATGGCCATGTTAGGGCAGAGGGCCAGCATCATGCGAGGTACTGCTTCTTCCGAAAGCCGATGGGGAGAAGCTGATGGAGTATCGGACTTAGACCTTCTTCCGGAAGGATGACGGAACAGCGGTCACATAATCAGAGGAAGGATCCCTAAATCCTGGAAACTCCTATCTCACGTCCATGTGCTACGGGAAGGAAGAAGGACGACAACACGAGCAAGCATTTTAATTCCAGCAACTAGAGCAACTGAGGCAAAGAACGGCCAGTGGCTTCAGTGTCAACAGTGGATACAATGACAGAAACAGAATGCCCGCAGCAAGCGTGTGTCCGAGAAGTTCATAAGCAGCTGGTGCATACATGCACGAATATGCGGTTTAACGATATTGAAGCGACATATGCTTCTACACGTGCATGCTCGGGCCCACTTCAGCAGGTTGTAGTGCGGACCAACAGCCGACTCTCCGTAATTTGGTACTCTAGTACTCTACCGAAGTATACCCAGACAACTGCAGCTGCAACGGAATGCAACAAGACGCATAAGTGTGGAGATGCGGGCATTGTGCACACGTAGAGAGAAGTGTAGTTTGAACATAGCGTGTCTCAGACTGCCTACCTGAATCCGAAGCGTTCGCAAATGCGTCGTTGGAGCCCTTGTCTTCTATTCTGCACTGTACAGGCTTACTCTGTCGCTGTGTTGGGTCGTGCTTGTGATTCTTTGTGGAACTTCTATCTATAAGACATGCTAGTCTGTCCTTTGCTGCAAGTGTGGCTCGCAGCCATTATGCGCTTCGCCACGGCATTTGCATGAAAGAACAGTATCAGGTTAGACATGATTAGACAGCGGCATGCTGACCTTGACAAGTGCACACTGATAGTTTGCGTAGTGCAAGAAGCAGATAACCGGCGTCTTTTCGAAGCAGCTTTCTGACTTGTCCAGGATGCATGCACCTTCCGAAGCCTGCAGTGAGACAGAGGATGGGAGGGATGAGCAGGAGTTGGGCCTTCAAGGACAGCCACAGCCCTGTCAGGGATTAAGCTCCTTTTTCTCACGCAGCCGCAAGTCCAAGCTGGCTTCGCGGATGAAAGCTTCTTACACTGACTCCAGAATCGTCGAAGATGAGGATAGCCAGGCTGAGAAAATTGACAGAGTTTGGCTAAGCATCCGTCCCTGGGTGTGTTTGCATGCTTTGGTCGCAATGCAGCGAGCGCATCCCATCTGCGATCTGGCGTGTGAGGATTGGGAGGAAGAAGGGGCATCGGAAAGAGCTGTGCTGGCACATTCACGAAAGGAAAACAAACCCACAGCCGACGAGTTTGCTTGGACCGCAGCTATGGTTGTATCTTTGCCGCCTGACTGCCTGGCCCGGGCGCTGGAGTTCATCCACGGAGATGTCAGCAGCGTTTACGCGCCCGAACCTCGCGTTCCCTGTGCTCGTGCCACACCCTTCTCATCGGAAGTTAAGTCAGCTCAGGTGAGGAACTGGCAATGCTGCAGATACCTTCTCTCACAACAGTCGTGCTTGCATGGCCGCGTTCTTCAATCGGGACGTTCCGGGCGGTCCTTGTCTTTGGCCTGCTGGTATTGTACAGCCAATTTTCCCCACGGTCTTGTAGGCGTTGAGCAGCTCAAGGCTCATGCAGAGACCGCCCATGCGTCAGAGATCTTGACTTACATCCGCAAGACCAGGAAGGTCAAAGCCCGAAGACAGCGGGAGCGGTACCAAGCCGGTCCCGGCGGCCAGGTAAGGAGAGATTTGGAGCTGCAGAAGCAGCTAGGCAAGCTTCGATAACGACATCTGGGCAGTGTGGGATTCCTGCACTGCCTTGAGTTAAACCCTGTTTGGCGATATTTTCAGTAGCAGTAGCAACTCTGTCTCACCATGTACGGCTGCAGGAAAGCTAGGTCTTGTCTTGCATCACCGTCACCTTCAGATTTGTGCAAAAGGCGGCGGCCTTCGATGATCATTCGTAACATTGTCCTTGAGTGCTGAAGGTTCGCAGCCCTCTTCATGCAGCGCAGCATCAACCTTATTCCCAAAGCCTTGCTGCAGGCTTTGCAAGAGCGGTCGGTGTGCGGCGCCCAGCGAATGCATGCCTCAGACTGATGTGAATGCCGTGTAACATGTTCAGGGACACGGGAAACATGGAAGCTGCACGAACCCAAAGCAGCTAATAACGGCAGCAGGTCAGCCGTCTTTTTGCGATGCTGCGAGGTCTAACTGCGGACTTCACCGTGAAGTCAGACCCGTATCCCAGAAGAACGCTGGCAAAGAAGCTTTGCCAGGCCATGGGACACAATGCGCAATGCCCCACAAGCCGGTACATGCAGCGTCAGAAAGCAAGGGCGGATATGAGACATCTTACCCCTTGCCACGACTGCATCGGCTGGTTCCTGCCGGGGCTCAACATTTTGCACCGTAAAATTTGTTCTCAAGGTTGGTCTTACGAGACCCCAGAAGACCGAATTTTCGGGGCCACGTCAGAGAGAAGTAGAAGCCCGACAGTTGGAACATCAGCTTTATCACTCCTGTGCAGTTGTTCAACAATAAAGTATAGAAGTTGGGATTGCTGTAGTCATCCCCCTTAAGTAACTCACGTTCCAACTCGTCGGGGAGTACTGTTGGCTGCGGTTGGTGTTCAGAAGCCACGATCGCCAGGGCTTTGCGCTAATCTTCTCTGGCATTGGCGTGCTGTACGGCATAATCCAGTGCGGACCCTGTCCGGGTTCAAGGGTTGACGCATCTTTTCCATTTGCTGGTTCTGACTTTCCGTTATGTCGCCTGTTGCTCGCTCTCTCTATCTCTCTCTATCTCACTCGCTCTCTCTCTCTCCCTCTCTCTCTCTCTCTCTCTCCCTCTCTCTTTTTCTCTCCCGTCGTTTGTACTATAGGTGGAACACGCTGAGCCGTCGTCGGATTCGAAGGATTGTTGCGTGTGTTGCACAGTGATTTCTGCGTAGACTCGAGGGCCTGCACTCCAAGCGCCACTCCGGTCACCTGTCTTTCCGTTACGCCCTCCATTGCAACACCTTCGCAACCGCCTGCGACAACCGGCTTGCTTTGCATGGGCAATTTGAGCACTTTCGAGGTGCTGTGCCGTCGAAGTAGGCGGCGAGTTCCTCGCTGCGGAACAAGCGGCCAGGGACATAGGCCGGCTTCAACGGCTTGAGGGACCAGTTGTAGTGTTCCGGATACATGCGGAGACACAAGCTGCTGCGAGAGGCTTTAGGCCTTGGGGTGCTGGGCTTGCGCTTCGGGGTCATAAATACCTGACCGTTGTGCCGACTTTCGATCAAGGACAGTGGGCACACGAATGTGCTCATGTGCCAAAGCTATCCGTGGGAAGAAGAGCCACCAGCGGGACCCTGGATTCCTCTAGGGCCTGTAAGGGACACATCACACCTTGTGTCTCTACTGTCGATGGCGCTTCCTGCTTTGGCCAGGAATTCGATGCGTTTGCATAGATGTGGACCTAAACAGGTGGGCGGGGTTTGCGACTTTGAGTCTTCTCTTGTCAATGAACCGTCAGGGTGTTTACAGCTTGCAGACTATATGCCCATGCATCCGTGGGCTTTCGGGTGGCAGCATTGGATCATGGTGCTGATAGCAGTACTGATCAGCAGTCCAAGAGCAGCCGCAGGCACATGCGCACAGAGGAATCCGCATGCCACTCGCAATTCCGAGATTCCCTTATTTCCTGGCCTGAGAGTTCCGCAGGTTTTGGAGTCGACTGGGGTGGGCGATTCTGCTGGGATCTTAGTATATCTCGCAGACCAACTGGGAGGCACCTGCAGCGTGCAAGCGTCCGGCTCCATTTCTTGAAATGGAGATCTCTCTACAATCAAATGCGGGCCCAAGCTGGGTTTGGAACATGCTTTCATGCTGTGAGCCTCTGCGAAGCATTTCCTACCGGCACATTGTGTTTGCAAGTGGTCTGCCTGCTTCGCTGCGACAGCGATTTGAATTTTAGCTCCGCAGTAGCGTTGTTCCAATGGTTCTTCGTCCGAGCACCCTCACGCATCTCAGAAAAGAAGATGCCAACCATCATCGCACCAAGAGCATGTGGTGGGGTCTGAGTGCCAAAGCAGACAGCGGGAAGTGTACCAAGTATGAACAAGCTTCGAAGTTAATTACTCGAAACACCACAGCTCTAGAACCTAATCTCAAAAGCCTTTCCTGAAAGAGCGCTTCTTCCCGAGGCCCTTGCCAGCTAACTTGCTCAACTCGCTCCTGTCATGGTTAGCCGGGGGCTTAGCAGCTTAGCAAAGGATTGCAGGCATGTGTGAACGGCAGAGGCCGTCGATGTCACGATGAAGGATCGCGTTTGAGTGAGGTACCGGAGGGGCAAGGGAAAAGCATCAGCGGCGATCCATGAGAAGAGTTCGTTTTGACCCCGATAGGCCGTGAGGGTCTGCCTTCGCAATGTGCTGCAGCACCTGGCTGCTCAGGCGTTTCCACGGCTGTTCTTCCAGGCCGTGAAGCTCCTTCCGAGTGTGGAGTGTGATTTAAAGTTGGCAGAAGGAGTCGTAGATTCCCTACCTAGGCTTGGTCAGTTGGCCTCTCAATACATCAGACCCTACTACACTGAACCCGCAGCTAGCTGGCCTACCCTTGCATGTCGACTTGCGAAAATGCCTTGAATATCACCGATTTAAAGATTGAACTCTCGGAATCCTCCAGTCTTTTGAGCCTGGGCCAGAATCGCTGAAGCTCCATAAATGCCATAAACTCTAACACCAGTGTGCACCAGCGGCTACAAAGCAAGTAAACGAGAAACTCGGGAAACAGAGCTTGGCCACAAGTATTGTTTGAGTTCTCATGCTGTATGCAGAGTCATTGCTTTTTGCTTTGTTTGGGGCTTGGGTGTTGGCTTTCAGTGGCTTTCATCTTCTAGTTTTGGATGTCCGGCTCTTGCCTGAAACATTATTGTTATCATTATCATTATCATTTACTTGTATTGCAGCATTTTTTGTTTGTATTATTAGCACCGCATTCTCTATTCGTATTAGTATTGATCTCTCACTTCAATTGGATCCAGGGTTCTCGCAAGCGTAGAGCCCGAGCCTCGTGGTCGTCTGCCACCCTCTGAAGCCAAGTCCGCCTCTCTGGAGAAGACAAAGTGATTTGTAGGGATACCGAATTTGCTGATATAGCTGATGATGATTGATGATGGCAGAGAGCCTGGGTTCAAAAAGGGATACCTTAATGTCCTGCAGTATGAGCGGGTTTATGTGGGATGTCCCTATGCTTGTTTTTGCTTGTGTGCTTTTTTTGGGCCATAGTGACAAGCCCGGCGCCGACCCCTAACAACACGACTGTGCGCAGTTCGTGTTCCCGCCCTTCGGCACGATCGATGTGCTCGGCAGCATGGTTCTGCATGGTCGACGCCCCAGCCCGCCAAGAGGTCCGAGGCGTCGAATCTGAGGTCTGAAGCTAGAGGTTTGGGGCAGGTTGTAGGTTCAAGACTTTAAGGGTTGAGCTTTGGGTTCTTATGTGTTGGCAACTTAGGGGTTGCAAGCTTAAGACTTGGGGGGGGGGGGGTGGCTCAGGGGGGTTGGAGTTTGTAGGTCTTAGACTGCAGGGCTGCGTCGTTTCGGGCTTAGATTCTTTCGGCTCGTATAAACTGCAAACTAGCGCATCTATGAAATCCTGTGTAAGGACGCTTTGGCAATAGATTTGGAAGGGTGAGGCAGGGGGCCTGGGGCAGTACAGCTCCGAGCCGCTCGGGACAAGGACGAAGGCTTTGTTGCAGGATGGGTTTCGGTTGCTGGCTTCGGCTTTCAGGTTGAAGGTTTCATTCGGGTTGATGTGGAATCCGCAGCGGGCGAAGTCGACCATCCCTCTAGCCGGGTGTAGGCGATTTGAAGAAGCGTGCCTTGCACAGGTTTCCCTCGATTCTGAGGTTGTTCAAAGCCGAGACCTGTCAGTTGCATTTCCTGACGGGACACGACCTGATGCCATAAAGTTTCGAACATGTGAAGTCTCACCTGGATTGCTCCCGACCGCAAGACGCCTATAAGCCCAAGAAGCCCATGCAGCAGTGTATGGCCTCTGTGATACATACATACAGATGTATATGTTAACACAGTAGAAGATGTCACACACACACGCACACGCATACATATATATATATATATATACACATAATCAAGGACAAACATGTGCATGCATGCATACACGTATTCACATGGTACATATTTATTGGTTCAGTTATTGGTATTCATATCTATTGCCAGAAGCATTCACACTTAGTTCACGTAAATGTAACTGTAATTTGTGCTAATGTACGTCGGGGCCAATGTGCTCGTCTCTCTCTCTCTCTCCAGAAACTTTGTGTTCACCCAACACCTCGCCTGCTTTGCCGAGAGTGAGTGCTAAAAACTGTAATTTGACATATGAACCAGGAAATGCAACCATAAGAAGATACCTGTGTAAACCCGTGCGATATAGGTAGCTGGGCTTCCCGCGAGGAGGTGAGCCGTTGCTCAATAGCCTATATTCTTGGAAACAAGCCGCAGTGTCGTCTTTGACGGCTGAGGCAAAAGCTTTCCGTTGAAGACTTGGGCAGCGTTTATTCTGGCGGGCTTGTGGCAAGCTCAGCTCTGACAAAGGACAAGATAAATCAAACTAGCTGTCATGGGCCTCGGTAGAAGCCTGGAGTAGACCTTCAGGCATGTGGGTGTGGACAAGTTTCCGGTTTAAGGATTTGTGATGCAGGCGTGACGTTGTTATGTATATGTTACCTCAGACCCGCAAGTCAGACGGCGAATTTAAATGCAGGAGTTGGGAGTC